AAGGGGGCCCAGCAGGGAGGTGGCAGTTCTGGTCCTTACTGAGGAAGACAGAGGCAAAGAAGTTATTAAATATGTTGGCTTTGTCGTCTGGCGTGACAACCAGATTCCCCGTCTTGTCCTGCAAGGGCCCCACATTTCCTGGGGCCTTCTTTCTTCTCCCTATGTACTTAAAAAAGGACTTCTTGTTGTCCTTAATCCGGGAAGCCAGCCCCTGTTCCATCTCTGCCTTGGCCTTCCTAACCATCCCCCTACATCCCCAAGCAACTGCTGAATAGTCCTCCTTAGTGATGACCCCTCCTTCCCATTGGGAGTAAGCCTCCTTTTTGGCAAGGAGACATTCCCGGATGTTTTTAGTGAGCCATGGAGGCTCCTATTTCTAGTGTTGTGCTTTGTACTTTTATGTGAGGGTTTGAAGTGGTGATTTTTAGGCATCTTTGGGGAAATGGTTGCCAGAAGACACAAGGGGCTCAACTCAGCAGCCAGGGAAACCATTTCCAGTCGTATGTTCCTGCAACATTTTCACATGATGGCAGTATTTTCAAAGCACCGAAGTGACCCAAAAGTCAGAGGAATTGCACTCTGAATAAAACTTGAAATTCTAAATTACTCTGGAGTTTTGCAAGATCCTAATGGATGAAAATGGATGACATTTTTGAAGTGTCAAGATACTTAGCTACTGTCTGAGGCAAAAAAACATTTGTGCATGAATGTAAGTATGGGCTGAGTAGATTGGGTGTCTAGGTTAAAAGCCGGAATGACCTGGTTGGAAGCCAGACTTACAAAAGCTCCTCTTCTAAGGATCTTAGGGCTCTTGCAAAAATTAAGTCTCAGTATACAAACACAGCATTCATTTATTGTAAAAAATAGGCAAAACTGGGGGAAAAAAATTAGACAATATACCAAATCTTGGTCAGAGTCAAGAACAGAACTCGGATTGCCAGATTGGACACTGCCACCATTTTTAGTGCAGTGGACTAACTAAACAAGCAGCAGCAAAAGAGTTAGAGTTTTCCATTTAGTTACATGGTTCTCTGTGTGTCCCACACTTGGGTAAACCCTTAACTTGCAGTCACTGCAGAATCAAAAGTGAATATGGCACATCCATGCTGCTGACACTTAAAAACCTCCATGGGGAAGTTATGGCACTTCTACAAGTAGACCTACGAGGCACAAGAACAAGGCATCCCAGTTTATGCTAGATATGTGGCATGCAGCTTTGAAACCAAAAGCTAGTAGTTCATCTTTCTTTTTTTTTTCTTTAAATGGAGTACTGCAAAGGATAAGGGCTCTGGTTCTGCTTGTTAGCTCTGCCAGCCTGCTGAGGGTGTCCTAAGCACGAATTTTCATACTTTTATGTTGGAGGTGTTAGTAAATTTAACCTTCATTCTCAACATCCTGATTTCAGCTTAAGGAAAAGGCTTTTATTACACTAACTAAAATGCCCTCATAAGGGCTTGTCCCCTTAAAACGTTGAGAAAGCAAAGCAGTAACTGCAGCTTTATGTCCCTTCTAAGAATCTAAGAAGAATTTTAAAATTGGCCTTGGCCCAGGGTCACAGGCAAACAAGCTGAAAATTCAGAATTGGGGGCGGGGGGAAGAGAGGGAGGAGAATGCAGCTCCCTATCCCATTATCCAAGATTCACAGTTTTAGACTAATCTCAAAGAGTAATCAAACTCTAGAAGTGAATGCATTCAGCAATTTAATGTAAACCATTAGAAAAAAGGGTTCTTTCCATCTGAATGGCCCCAGACAATTTGTTGCCTAGCACTCTCATTTTGCAAAATCAACAATCTTGGCAAGTGACATAAAGAAGTCAGGGTAGATTTTCACCTTGCAGACTAGCCACAGTAGATAGATTATACGTATATAGCACAAGCTTTTGTAAGCCAAAATTCACTTCATAAGATGCTGTGAAAGGCCAGGGAGAAAGCAGAGTATCACATCCTTCCATGGCATCTGATGGAGTTTCAGCTCATACAAACTTGTGCTATAAACTAACCAAAATAGAGATATATAAAGGTACAAACCTACCCTGCTTTCTACTTGACTTCAGACTAACTCAGCTAATGATGTCTCTCAGGTGACAAACACAACCTATATGGTAAACATAAATACTGCAAATAAGTACTTTGCAGGACGATAGACACAACCTGGCAGAAAAGGCTCTGGAGCACTAGAAAGTATCTCTAATGGAAAAATTCAGATCGGTTTCTTGTAAACCCAGACTGGTTAGTTGGCAATATCTGATTTTACCTCTTGTCTGGAAAGAGTCATGGGTAACTTTTCTTCTGCCAGCTCTAGCTCCAATACTGGGTTGGATGAAGTCAGTGGTTTCTCTTCCTCTTCTGTCTGCTGTACCTACATGGTAACAATATTTATTACAGCAAGCTGAGGCAAATAAACCTATAGATTTAAGAGCATTAGGCTGGAAACTCTCTGGAGCAAAGACTGCTTCTCATAGTGCAACTATATAGAACAATCAGTCCTGTCTAAGCACAGGTCTCCAAGTGCCACCTCAATTCTAGAAACAATGCCACAGCTAAAATTGTATGTCAGTGTATGCATTCCCAGAGGAAGGAATAATTTTATTACAAATACCAGGGTTTCCTAAATACTGTTAAGGAATGGGGAAAACAATAGATCTGGAAGGCAATACAAAGACATTCAGTAGATTGTGAACACAAACAGCAAAACAGCTTATATGGGGAATGCTTCTTGAAGAAAAATTTGACAAAAGACTACAGTTCATTGCAAAAAACATACCAGCTTCATGCCCTCACTATAAGAGTAGCATGACAGTACCAGTTCCCCTCAATCAGGAAGGGAAGTCTCCAAATCAAGTGGAACTTCCTCTTCCTGGTACAGCTTGATGTTTTCATAGCACAGGAACCTTTCTTTTGCCCAAAGTTAAAAATATGCTTGTAAGTGCATCTCCCTTTATAAGCCCAGGTGTAACACTTTGCCATGGAGGGTTACTGAAAACAAAGGCAAATTGGGTGAACAGGTTGATGCCAGCAGTTCTAAGTCAAACAGGAAAATAATTCACACAAGAAAGTGAGCAGCATAGAAATTTGCTAGATGCCTTATTAGTTTTTAAAAGTAATAATTCAATTTCATTCTATAGAGTGTTACATTATAGGCAGAGTCAAGGAATGCAACAAAAGCCAGATTCAGTTTCTATTTCTAAAACACGAGCTTGGTGGACAGCTTATATCAGAAAAGCAGTTTTAACATTCTCTCAGGCCAATATCCCAGTCTGCAATCAAGGGCTCTTTGTCTGGACATAAGGATATATCCATGTGGCTCCAACTACTGGACCAGACATAAGTCTGTTTTTCATGCTACATTAAAATATACAGGGGTTAAACTTGAATTGAAATACCCACCCACTTCAGTGGGAGTTCAGGGCAAGCAAGGAAGACAGGATCAAGTCAGTGATTGACATCTAAATAGAGAAACATGACTTTCATCATTTCAAGGGACAAAAGAAACCTACCTACTAAAGGTAAGAGAGGAAGCAGGTTAGATGGGAAACACCTCCCCTTCAATGTCAGAATTTCTTTCAACCTTCTAATCATTTTTTAAAACAATAAAGTAAGACAGCAACTCTGAGGAAAAATTTGAGCCATTCTGTCAGCTAGAGTCAAAGTTACAAGCAGTATCTTTGCCATGGTTATTTGTGCTTCAGTGCTTTCTCTTTACAAGCAAGAGACATAATATGTATTATTAAGGCAGTCTAAGCAAAGCAAAAGCGCCTTTGTTTTAAAAAAAAAAAAAAAAAAAAAAACCACCCCGTTTTCCTCCTTTTTTTTTTTTAAAAAAAAAGGCCTTTTTGTTTGTTTGAACTTCCCTAAAAAAATTTTTTTTTTAAGGAAGTTTAAGCAAAGAAAAAGGGCCTTTTTTTTAAAAAAAAAGGCCTTTTTGTTTGTTTGAACTTCCCTAAAAAAATTTTTTTTTTAAGGAAGTTTAAGCAAAGAAAAAGGGCCTTTTTTTTAAAAAAAAAAAAAAAAAAAAATACCAGCCAGCTTCCTGCCTTTCATTTTATTAATCAAAGCTCAAATGCAGAAATCTGGGAGGCTCTAAAGAAGCACCAATTCAGCTAAAAAGCTCACATAAAAATCTCTCCTGAGATCATATTTTAATTCAAAAGAATTCCTGTAGCAAAAAGAGGTATTTTGTCCCTATGTAGCTTTTTTGTCTAAACCCACATCTAACTTTCTGCATCTCAGCAAAAAGCCTGAAATGTACTAAACTGAATTCAAATCACCCAGGAAGGTGAAACATTAATACACAGATACCAAAAACCTAAAAGAAACCTCATTTACCCTTTGATGAGTATGGATCCTTTTTACTCCAAGTGACAGAAATTATGCTAGAAAGACCAGAGTGACACAATTTTTAAGCTTCTTCAAACTGCTAAAAAACAGGGGCTGATACCAATGGCTGATTTTTGGGGCCGATACCAATGGCTGATTTTTAACAAGCAGTATACCGATTCAAGTGCCGCTATGCAACCCAGCAGCATGAAGAGCAGCATCCAGCTGGTAAGTCCATTGAGGGGAAGGAGAGTGGGGGGGCAGATCTAGGCCCCCCGCGGTGAGGCAGGGAGTGGGTCTGGGGCAGGAGCTACACAGCCAGGGCAAGATGTGGGATGGAACCATGGCTCATCTGGCGGGGTGTGGAGACAGGGGGCAGATCCTGCCCGGGAAGGCATGGGGGGCATGTGCCCCCCAGATCTGTGAGTGGGACAAGGGCAGCTCCAAGGTCTTCCTGGCAGGGGGCTGCGCCAGGGCTGCACTTGGGGTGAGTGGTGGCAGTGCTGGGAGGAGGGTTATGACAAATCTGTAGTCCACTGCATAGCCCCCCTCCTACCACTGCCACCACCTGCCCCCAAGCATAGCCCCAACTCAACCCCCACCGCCAGGAAGAGCCCAATGCTGCCCCTGGCCCCAGCCTGCGGCTGCAGCCCACCCTCACCCTGCACACAGATCTGGGGGAAACACGCGCCCCATGCCCTCCTGGGGTACGTGCAGCGGCGGGAGCTGCCCCCACCCCCCACGAGCTACGGCTCCGTCCCATGCCCTGCCCCAGCTGTGCAGCGCTAGCCCCACTCCCTCTCTCACCACAGGAGCCTCAGACCGCCCCCTCCACGCCCCTTCTTTCCCCCCCAACAGACTTACCAGCCAGACACTGCTCTCCATGATGCCAGGCTGCACTCCTGGCCACCTGCATGCTGCACTGAGGCTGTGAACACGCATGTGGCATTTATCAGCAACATTATCAGCCACATCAGCCAAAAAAAGCCAATTTCTGATAACTTCTATTTTCCTTTTATCAGTGCCAATACGATATGGGACACATGTATCGGTGCACCTCTACTAAAAAACCTGGCTGAATATTAATTTCTGCTCTGAAAAATCACAACCGAATTCTCAGAACACTTTCCAACAGACATATACTGGGTGTCTTCATAGGAGGTATTTCTATGTTGATATCTAAAAAGATCTAAATGCCTTACAAACTCATCTTATCAAATTTTTGGATTGGCTAACTAACTAGGTAAAATTCAACTGAAAGTATGGCTTTTTCTGCCTAGCGAACATTAAACAAACCATTAAAGGTTTTCCTTTCAATTTCAGATCAAGTACTTCTGTATACACAAAAACACACATCCACCCCTGAAACTAAACAATATTCCAGCAGCTCCCAACTACTTCCCTGATGCTGCCGAGGTAGAAAAAAAGCCTTCCAGATCACTCATTTGTTTCAAAATGCAAAATCCAGAGTTTCACTGTTTTCTAGTATTTTTGTCTAAAAGAAAATAAACGCTGTGCTGCACTCCATCAAGCACTGGATCTTTAGAGGCCAAGCAAAACAATTATCAATGCTGATACTAAACGTGTTGGCAAGTTTTTTTTTAAACACCCATTTTGTGCCGATTCCTCTGAAATATTTTGATGGGAAAACCTTGAACATGCTCTTTGTTGTTCTTTCTTTTTTTAAATAAAGGGAGGTGGCTATGTCAGATCCAGTGTTCGTGCCTAAAAGCACAATTTAAAAAAGAAAAAAAGAACAAGCTTTAATCCCAAGCCACTTCATGCTTTCCACAAAAAGCCAAACCAGAACATAAACTTAAGTAGCTAGATATCATGCATGTCTTTTCCTGCATTAAAGATGTTTTTGGAAACGCATACCTCTCCAGAAGGCTTCTCACTTACAGGCTAATGTATAACATTGACAAATTGAACAAAGAACAACAGTTATCATTAACGATGCTTGCAATGTTGATATTAAAATCTAGACTACAAAGTGAACATCCAAATCACTAAAAGAATGATCCCAGTACCTTGTAGCCACATCTCTGCAAGTACGCCTCTTCCTCCTTCTTAACTAGCTCACTGCGCTTGAAGTGCTTTTTGTTTTCCTGGAAGGGAGGAAACCTGTTAATACTTTACACAACTTGATTCCAACGTCTATCCAGTCTATCCACCTGGACCTCAAAGCCTGCATCTTTCCTTAGGTCTGCTTGCAGGGAGAGGAAAACATTTCAAAGGGCTCCTCCAATGCACACCAGCTACAAGTTCAAGGTAATGCTGCAACACATTTCCTCCAGACTGGTTGGTTAGCAAGTACTGCATTTACCCGAATCTAAGATGACTTCAAATTGAAGATGCCCCCCACCCCCATAATCAGATGCTACCAATGGCAAATGTAAGCATTTATTATAAGGGGAGGGGGCTTGGGCAGCAGAAGAGGCAAGGCCAGCCAGTGGCTGTGGCTCTGACTTTGATGCCGAATGTGAGCCTGGGCTGTGGCCAGAGTGACTGCCTGCCCCCTCCTCGCCTCATGCCCAAATCCATAAAATCATAGAAAATTAGGGTTGGAAGGGACCTCAAAACAGGACCCTCCTCAACTAGACCATCTCTGGGTCTAGTTCAAAACAGGATGGGTGCTTTAAAACAGTAGCTCTGGATCAGCATCGCCAGGTCTTAAATGTGAAATTATCGTACTGGAAGCTCAAAATTATCATCGTATTTGCTGAAAAACTGCCATACACTGAACAAAGTATGCAAGTAAGCATGCTAATAAGCATGCAAATAAGTCTTCTTATCGACTTTCTAGTGCTCCATGTAAGCTGCCAGCGAGCCAGCAAGAACCAGGTCAAAGTTGAAGCATTTTTTCCTATTCTGACCCCAGCAGCCCTGGAAAAGGGCTGAAGCCAACCCCTGAGCCATGTAGGACTCCCTAAGAGCAAACAACACTAAGATGTGGGGAGAAGTGGGCACACCAGAAGGGAGGGACAGGCTACAACTAGACCTGGACAGGTTACAGGGGTGGGCGGATGAGAACAGGATGGGTTTCAACACTGACAAGTGCAGGGTACTCCACCTGGGGAGGAAAAACCAGCAGCAGAGCTACAGGCTGGGGAACTCCTCTCTCATCAGTGCAGAGGCAGAAAAGGATCTTGGAGTCATCATTGATGCCAAGATGAACATGGGCCGGCAGTGTGGGGATGCAGTCAGGAAGGCCAACCGCACTTGTCATGCATCCACAAGTGCATCTCGAGCAGGTCCAAGGAGGTGATCCTCCCCCTCTGTGAGACACTGGTCAGGCCGCAGTTGGAGTACTGCATCCAGTTCTGGG